TAGAACCTCAGAGCAGGTCAGCAGGTCCTGTTTACTCTCCTGAGAGAAGCTTGACATTGGTCAGAGTACATTAATGGTGGTTTGGTGTGGAAGGCCTGTAATAGCATTCATTGACATTGGACTTGCTGTCAGGGGAAACATGGGTTTTCGAAGCTGTCATTAGCATTAATTGCCCCTAATGCACCATCATTTTTGACAGTAATGAGCTAAACTGGGGGGTTATTACTCTCAGCAGAAAGACTGCATTTCCTAGTGTTAAAACATTTTTTGAGGTGTATGTGGGATGCAGAACCAGCAAGGAAAGCACTAGTATGATTCAGTGTGAAGCAGGCTTAGCTGCATTTAAAGTGGCTAAACACGTCCCTTTCCTATTGTAAAAACTAATCCTGAAGTGTTAGTGTGAAGGAAGAAGCAGCTAACCCAGCGGGATCCTACTCTGAATTCTTTATAACACGTCTTTGGAAAAAGTTATAATTTTTATTTCTCAGTTTGCTTTAAAAGAGTAGCATAAAAACGCTTTTCTTTTCAGTGTTTCCAGAGACCCATTTGTAGTAAGATCTTAGGAGCAGAAGGACTTGTTTTAAACTGTTCCCTATTTAAGAACAGCCCTACGTTGTTTCTCTGCAACAAAAAACCCTTTAACTTAGGAAGCCTTTTAGAATTAGGGCTGAGAGCAAACCCAAGATGACTTGAGTTCACTGTGATTTGCCCTTTTGTCATCCATGTGTCTGTATTGTCTGGGAGTGCTTATGATGTCTTTAGAACAAACACACAGTTGAATGTTGATTAGCAGACCTTATCGACCATGTTCTTGTTGAAATATAGTCAGGATTCTAAGTAAAAACCCGGAAAGTTGATGGCTTTTCTGTCATTATAATGAGGATACATTCAGAGCCTTACCCAAATCTTTTAACATCTGTCTCCATATACCCATCTACAGAAAGGAAGAGTATTATTTTTATTTATTTTTTTTAAAGATTTTTATTTATTTATTTGAGAGACAGAGATGACAAGTAGGCAGAGAGGCAGGCAGAAAGAGAGGAGGAAGCAGGCTCCACACTGAGCAGAGAGCCCGATGCGGGGCTCGATTCCAGGACCCTGGGATCATGACTTGAGCCGAAGGCAGAGGCTTTAACCCACTGAGCCACCCAGGCGCCCCAGGAAGAGTATTATTTTTAAAATCATATTTAAGGGGTTGTTGCTTTTTAATACAAAATGTTTATAAAGAAGAAAGTAAAGGGCACACAGTCTCATTGCTCAGATAATCCATGTTTTTTCAAAGAAAAAAGGAATAAAATATGCATGTAGTTTAAAAAAATTCAAAGTGCAAAAATGTATATAATGAAATGTAAGAGCCTTCTCATCCCTTCAGTCCAGCTCCTCTTCTCAGGGGAATCTTAACAGTTAACTATGTACATTTTAAGAAAAAGAAGGATGCGTTTATTAATGAATGTGCATATCCTTTCTTGTTTACACAAAAAGGGATTATTCTATAAACCGCTGTATTTATCACAAAGTAGAGGCTCCCAGCTTTCTCCTCTGGGGTCTTTTCAACTCGATGGCCTCCCCACCCTCAACACCCACCCCCACACCCCCCACCCCGCCCCCAGCCCTCTGCCACTCCCCTGCCATAATTCACCCAGTTGTCTGGACTCCATGACAGACAGCGCTGTCAGTGGATGGCTATGTATTCTAAAGTAGGTGATAATATCTCTGTATCTGTCCATAGACATCTACCTTGGCTTTTTAAATTATTCCGTGGTGATTCATAGTGTATTCATGTAACTAGTCTTCTGTTTATGGACATTTAGGTGGAACAGTGATTTTAGGATCACATTTACAAATTAAATGAGTAAGGCGTTAGAGACTGAGTCAAAGAAGTGAAGAAGGAATTAGCTGGTTAACGTTGGTGAAGATTGCAGAGTAGTTAACTGTGAAGACAGATTGTTTCGATAGCGTGGAATATCGCCAGGCTCCTTTCTTGCTGCCTGACCCAGGGCCACCCGCAGGCCGACTGAGGTCACAGTTTCTTCTTCTGTGCTTTGGTAGCACTTGGAACATCCCTCCATTAAAGCAGCAGCCTGGGGACGCCTAGGTGGCTCAGTCGGTTAACCCACTGTCTTTGGCTCAGGTCATGATCCCAGGGTTCTGGGATCGAGTCCCACATCGGGCTACTTGCTTGGCAGGGAGCCTGCTTCTCTCTCTGCCTCTGCCTGCTTGTGCGTGCTCTCTCTCTCTGACAAATAAAGAAATAAAATCTTTAAAAAAAAAAAAAAAAAGCAGCAGCCTGGTTTGTTAAAGTTCAGCTTTGCATCTGTGTTTCCCTGTAGGACAGGAAGTGCATCTTGCCATCCCTGTAAATCCCCTGCACCCGGGCGCTCCAGATGCCCTTGGGGGATGTCGGGAAGGTGCTGTTAGTGGGCTATTGCTGGATGTCAGTAGCCTGACCACAGCTCTTGGGCTGCTTCTTTGCTTGAGCCTTCTACTCTAGTTTTTTCCTTCAGATGATGTCAGTGTCTCTCCACACTGGGTTTATATAGCAGAGTTTGCTCTGGTTCTGACCCCTCTATTGAGTCGTGAAGCTGTTTGCTCAGCACAGAGCCCAAAGAGCCGAAAGAGAGGCCCCCCAGCTCTTCCTTTGGGGGTTTATTCAACTTGAAGGCCATCTATTTCCCTTCCCTACCACCATGATTCACCCAGTTGCCTAGACTCAGTGACAGGCAGTGCTGCTGGATATAATTCTGCCAATAGATGGCTATATATGCAAAAGTAGGAGGTAATAATCATCCTTACAGCTTCTGGTAATAACTCTTTTACATTTCAAGGTGTTTTTTTGTTGTTGTTGTTGTTGTTGTTGTTGTTGTTGTTTTAAAGATTTTATTTATTTATTTGACAGACCGAGATTACAAGTAGGCAGAGAGGCAGTCAGAGAGAGGAGGAAGCAGGCTCCCCTCTGAGCAGAGAGCCTGATGCAGGGATCATGACCTGAGCTGAAGGCAGAGGCTTTAACCCACTGAGCCACCCAGGCACCCCCTGTTGTTGTTGTTGTTGTTGTTTTTTGTTTGTTTGTTTTTAAAGATTTTATTTATTTATTTGTCAGAGAGAGAGAGAGGGAGAGAGAGCAAGCACAGGCAGACAGAATGGCAGGCAGAGGCAGAGGGAGAAGCAGGCTCCCTGATGAGCAAGGAGCCCGATGTGGGACTCGATCCCAGGACGCTGGGATCATGACCTGAGCCGAAGGCAGCTGCTTAACCAACTGAGCCACCCAGGCGTCCCTGTTGTTGTTTTTAAATAAAACAGAATACCTCTATTCGATCTGATAATTGAGGCCGTTGTCCCAAAATGGTTATTACGGAGGTGGGAAAGAAGTTGTTAAAAGGAATTGCTTGGTAGTTATCTTTATCCCTTTTTAATTTTTCTTCTTAGTCCTTGATTTGAGGCTGTCACACCTTGATAGTGCATTTTAGCGAAATGCCAAAGCCGTCCTTCAATTATTTGCCCAGTCCTCTGTCTCTGTTCCTTGATCTTGACTTAGACTATAAACCAGTGGATTTGGCAAGGATTTCCTAAGCATTACATTCAAGCTTATCAAATATTTGGAAGTCTGGGGCGCCTGGGTGGCTCAGTGGGTTAAAGCCTCTGCCTTCGGCTCAGGTCATGATCTCAGGGTCCTGGGATCGAGCCCCACATCCTGCTCTCTGCTCAGCAGGGAGCCTGCTTCCCCCCCCCCCAATCTGTCTCTCTGCCTACTTGTGATCTCTGTCAAATAAATAAATAAAATCTTAAAAATATTTGGAAGTCTTATGGGTATGTTTGCACATAAGTGCCTTGGGTTTTTGTAATTTGCACATTAAAACTTAGATTTTAGATAAAAAATTTCCCATGAATAGACTTTCAGAATGTTTTCTGCCTCTTGGAATTTTATACACTTAAGCTAATTTTTTAGAAGTTCCTGTTTATTGTGTTGGCTAGCTCCTCTTCGTGAACATGTTTATAGGGCACGCATAGAATTCAAACACTAACAGTCAAGATGGACTGGTTTGTGCTGCTATCAAACTCCAAGTCTCTGTAGCTTAGAACAGCAGAAGTTTGGTTTTTCGCCGTGCTAGGTTCCTTAGTGTGTCAGCTGGAGGTCTGCCTTCAGGCTGTCCTTCTTCCAGGACCCAGGCTGAAGGAGCAAACCTCTCTCTGCACATTGTCTATGTCCATGTCGGAGAAAAGGAGAGAATCACACACTGACTTTTAAAGCTTCCATTGAGGGGCTCACATTTCACTGCCCAAAGCAAGTCACGTGACCACACCTGACTCCAGTGGTCTGGGAAGTACGGCTCTGCCTTGTGCTCAGAGGGAAAACCAGAAGTCCCTGGCGAACAGTGCAGATGACAGCTGTGGTGTCGTAGGGCTTCGTGGGCAGACCTCCAGTACTGCCTGGCATAGAGTTAAGTGTTCCCGGGAAGCTGGATGGCAAGGTGCTTAAGAGCATGGACGCTGAGTCAGAGTGCCTGAGCTTGAATACCAAGTTTAGCCAGCTAAACTCAAGTGAGTGGCTTCATCTTTTTCATCTTCAATTTCCTGACCTCAAATAGCACTGCCTTAGAGAGTTGTGAGGATTAAATGAAATCGTTGTTACAGAGTCCGTGTATAAAGTCTTCCACATAGCAAACAATAGCCGTCCTGGGAATTGAGTACTTGTTGATTTGAATTATTTGAAGGTTACTGCTTACAGGTTTTCCCCCTTATTTATTTTAAAGGGCACACGAAAAAATCGGTTTTCATTTCCTCTTTTAGTATATACCATCCAACCAAAGCCAAAGAAGGGAAGAAGGGGTAAGAACCAAGGAGTTGCTTTTGAGCCTTGGTGGTAGGAGAAGTGGAAATCCTACCTGGCTGAGGCAGTTTTACTAATATCGTTGAAGACTCCCATCCTAGGATCATCTTTGTGAGGAAAATTTGGATATGCCTGTTAATTCCTGGTGATTTTCTTATATGTCTCACTCTAGCTCCGAGTCAAGATCTCCACTGAAGTTGGCATCACGAATGTTGATCTCTCCACCGTGGACAAGGATCAGAGCATTGCACCCAAAACCACCCGGTAGGTGGGGCGCCTTCTTGGCGCAGGGGGAGCTCGGGCTTGCGCTGACAGGAGCGCGCCCAGGCACGGAACCCTATTCCCATGTCAGCAGTGACCCAGCTTGCGCCTGCAACTGCAGAGGCTCCAGTTTTGCTGGCACCGCGCCAAGCAGCATCCTGGCAGATCTGCCGGGGGGTATCTATACGGGCGGTCCGTCCACAAAGGAATGGGGAGTGTCTGAGTCCAAGTCAGCTCTGCACATTATTTAGTTCTGATGACATTTTTTTAAAAGACTTTATCTTCATAGTCCTGAACTGGTTTTTAATGGCCTCCTGACAACTCTCTTTGACCCACAGTGGGTCTGAAATTGGTTGAACACCTCAGAGGTCCTTCTAATTGAGATGGAAGATAACTAGTTCTGGGGCCGTGATTTCCTTTCTCAGGTTCGTGGACAGCATCACTGATCAGTCATAACATTTGCTCCCGCTGTGCTCAGAATCTTTTTTTAACACAAACTTCTAGGTAGCTGTTGGCAGTTGATTATGGGGGCAGAGCACTGTATGAAGCCTCTTCGTCAGCCCTCTCCCAGATCCTTGGGTTTTTGGGGGGCCTATCTAGACCTCTGGGTTAGTTCAGACCCCAGCTTTACTCAGCTAGGTGGAAGGAAGGTGAACCCTCTAGGCCATTATGAAGACCAGAGATGTTAGCCAGAGCCTAGAAGCTAAGCATTCTCTCCTAAGTCCTATGAGGGAGCTGGGCCTTTCTCTCTCTGGCTTAGTTTTCAGTGACATTGACGATGAGAGCACTATTGAGAATCCACTGACATAAGATCTGTGAAAGTGCTTTGCAAAGTTTAATTCTCTATATGGGTGAAGCGTTGGTTTTACTAATAAGTAAATAGAAAGCCTAAGTGTAAAACCTTGTTTTTCCCCTGGCCATCTTCCCCTACTATCCCAGGAGGGAGCTGTGAAAAGTTTTTTCATCAGGTCTGCCTTTTGAGAAAATTACTCTTTAAAAAATCCAATTTCAGGCAGGAAAAATACATTGAAACCGTGTCCAGGAAAAAATACAGCATTCAAAAAAAAAAAAAAAGAAAAAGAATGAGTGCCCTTCTTGTTTTGTGTCTCCTACCCCCTCACGTCCCGACCTCGCTCGCATGTAACTGCCGACATCAACGCCGCGATGACTTCTCGTGGCAGTCGCGGCCTTGTCCACCCAGCTTTCCACTCCACTTGCGTGCATGTGTGTGCCCCGCTGGTGCCTGACGTGGTGCAGCTGACATCCTTAGGTCCTTGAAGTGAAAGCCTGGAGTGTCTGCATAGCCTTGCCCCAGAGCCCAGAGTTTATTCTGTGCTTTTCTCGTCCTGGCTCTCTCACTGCGGTTTGCCCTCCGGCCACAGACAGCTTCTCTCTTCCTGTCTGTCCACAGCAGGAAAGTGTTCCAGTGGGAGGGGGAGGATTAGGCAGTGAAGCGCCGTTTGTCTTCTTTATTCTGTTCTCAGATATTTGCAGATCCTCTCTGAAGACTTGCCGTATACATGTCTCTTTCAGGGTGACCTACCCAGCGAAAGCCAAGGGCACATTCATCGCAGACAGCCACCAGAACTTCGCTTTGTTCTTCCAGCTGGTAGATGTGAACACCGGTGCTGAACTTACCCCTCACCAGGTCAGGACAAAGCCCAGGTGCTTCCGTTGGTCTGTGCCATTAACGCGTGCCAGACTTGCTGGTGTGGCGTATACACTCCACATTCCTGCTTCTAGGTCTTCACTGTGGACCCTGATGGTACATCACATTCTCCCACATGACACTGTCCCCTCATGTACTGGCTATAACCCTGAATGTGGAAGACACGGTTCTTTTTAAAAGATCAACTGCTGGGGCGCCTGGGTGGCTCAGTGGATTAAAGCCTCTGCCTTCGGCTCAGGTCATGGTCCCAGGATTCTGGGATCGGGCCCCGCATCGGGCTCTCTGCTCGGCAGGGAGCCTGCTTCCTCCTCTCTCTCTCTCTGCCTGCCTCTCTGCCTACTTGTGATCTCTATCTGTCAAATAAAATAAAATAAAAATCTAAAAAAAAAAAAAAAAAAAAAAAAAATTTTAAAAGATCAACTGCTGGGGCACCTGGGTGGCCAGTTGGTTAAACAGCTGCCTTTGGCTCGGGTCATGAGCCAGGATCCTGGGATCGGGCCCCGCATCGGGTTCCCTGCTCAGTGGAGAGCCTGCTTCTCCTTCTCCCCCTGCCTGCCACTCTGCCTTCTTGTGCTCTTTATTTCTCTGTCAAATAAAACCTTAAAAAAAAAAAAAAGATCAATTGGTATTGAGAAGATATATTTAAAGCAGATTAGCACTTATTTGAGGCTTTTTTCTTTCTGGGGGAAAACAAAACAGATTGAAATAATTTTGAAAAAGGAAAACCTAGGCAGTAGGCCAAAGTGTTTTGTTCTGACCGCAGCAGAGTTTGTGGAAATCTGAAGAATGGCCCTTTTTTAATTTGTGCCTACTTTGTATTATGAAAGCAACCTCTTTCATTTTTGTTTTCCATATATAAAATAATGATAATTATTATTTAAAAGATTTTCAAATCATACCCTTTCCCCAGAGAATCTGATATGGCCCCTTGTCTTCTCAGACACCTTCTCCCCAACCTCTTGTCATCCCCCTTGATTAAGAATAACTGCTCTCGGCCCTACCCCATCCGTGGCAGTATTATGAAGGGAAATTCAGGTAAATATTTTGCTGAAAGATGGGAAAGCATGGGACCTGGGGACCTTGGTTTAGGTGCTTTGTAGGGATACTTGAGCAGAGCTAGCAGATTCAAGTTCATGCCAAGAGATAGCTTCAAAGTGGATGACTGACTTAAGTGGATTTACTTGGAAACTTTTTTGCTGTTTCTTTTTTTTTTTTTTTTTAAGATTTTATTTATTTATTTGTCAGAGAGAAAGGGAGAAAGAGACAGAGAACAAGCACAAGCAGGGGGAGCTGCAGGCAGAGGGAGAAGCAGACTCCCCACTGAGCAGGGAGCCTGATGTGGGACCTGATCCCAGGATCCTGGGATCATGATCTGAGCCGAAGGGAGACACTTAACTGAGCCACCCAGACACCCCTTGCTTTCTGTTTCTTATAGCTACATCTGCTACACGTGTGCCCAGGACCCAGACTGGCTTCCCCCAGGACCACTGCCCTGGCACTTCTCCACTCCTCTCCCCTGTCCCCCTCACCCCTCCCACCCCCCCCCACCCCCGATCCAGAGAGCTCCAGAGAGCTCAGTCAGGGCACTTAGCCATGGCTCACGGACTCAAAGCACTTCAGCCTCTTAGCATTTCCCAGCTCCTTTTCAGAATGTTTGTCAGCAAAACGGCACAAGGGAAGAAAGAATGAGGAGAAGATATCACGAGACTAAATTGGTGGGATTAGGGCTGGGACAGGGAGAGTTCGTGAGGAAGTGTAACTTTTAAGTGGATACTTGTCTCACCTAAGATTCTACTTTGGAACCATGGCACAGAGACCTCCCGGGTAGAGCTGGCATTTTGCAGGTAAGCCTGGCTGCCGCCTGCCCTTGGCTATAGCAGGAGGAACATCAGGCATCCGGGCTCCTAAATCCCATTCTTGGCCAAGGCTGCCGTCATCAAGATGCCTCACATCTCTGGGCCTTTCCCCTAAATACTCTGATAGTTGTTCTTTGTTGCCCAGGTATAAAGTAACACATGAGATTTACATTTTTTTCCCCGTGGATCCAGCGCTGAATTTTGTGACGATGGCAACTCATTTAATCCTCATGCCTTATGATCTGTTAAATGGAACCAATCTACCTTTCTTGTTCAGTTCTTTATTTTAAAACACCTGAGAGAAAAGCTCTGCGTGGGTGTTAAATCTTGCTGCAGTTCTAATATGCAGAAGCCTTAATTTTTTATGCCACTGGCAGGATAAGGTGATTAGACTTATACCATCGCACTGATGAGAATTTCATCTGTTTGTTGACTCGCTAGCATTCTACCAGGCCCGACACTAAATGCTTCGCATTCATCATTGTGAATCTTGACAGATACACCAAAGATGAAGAGCTCGAGGCCCGAGGACGTTAAGTAACATGCTCGCCTAATAAGCAGTGGAACCAAAACTGCCTGTCTTCAGAGCCTGGGCTCTCTCTGTGACACCAGGCTGCTCCACTCAGTTAGAACTCGGCCTTGCTATCAATCCCTGAGCCTCTTCCACTAAATCTTTAGCTGGAGGCACTAGGAAATTGAAAATGGGCCTCTTACAGTTCCACCTCATTTCCCTTCTTTTCACCCTCTGGTGAAGAAGTTAATTGGGCAGCAAAGTGGCCAAAAGGCTGGCAGGAAGAAGAAATTGCAGTGGCAGCAAAGAGCTTAAATCATCCGCAAACTGGGCATTCAGCCTCCAAGTAGTTGAGAATTGGCTGGACCCCTTATTGAAATTTCTTACACTAACCAAAAGTGAGCTCTGCTCTCCGAGCTGGTAATGAGAATGGGATGGCCACTCCTTCCTCTTGCTTGGGCAGGTCTGGCAGATCCCAGAGCTCCCACTGTGACAAAAGAGCCAACAGTCTGTTGCTTTGTCCATTCGGTGTTGGGCACAGAGGGAGTTTTGAAATGATCAGATTAAAGATTGTGGTACTCTCCATCCAGACATTTGTCCGACTCCATAACCAGAAGACTGGCCAAGAAGTTGTGTTTGTTGCTGAGCCGGACAGCAAGAATGTGTACAAGTTTGAACTGGATACCTCTGAGAGAAAGATCGAATTTGACTCCGCGTCCGGCACCTACACTCTCTATCTGATCATCGGAGATGCCACTTTGAAGAACCCAATCCTTTGGAATGTGGTATGTGCCCAGATGCTCCTTGACCTAGGCAAGGGTGGCTGTGCCCCCCACAGAAACTGCTCTTTTCCCCTAGCCTCGCCTGTGCGGGGCAATAAATGGGCCTGGTGAGGTGAGGAGCCATGCGGTTTTCTACTAGAAGTCTTAGGGGTATGCACGTGGCCCAGCACTTAGGGTGTGCTCCATAAGTAGTGACTGAGTGAGTGCATGGAGCCTAAATTTGCCCTCGTGGGTCCTAGCGAATTTCTAGAAAAGTTACACTTGAAGGAAGTTTTCATTTTATAGCAAAATGCTATGGGGGAATCCATAGATGTAAGAGATGAAGGCCCCAGTCTTTGAGATATGGTACAGCCTCACGGTGGGGTGGGAGAGGGTAAGACTTGAATTGTAATAATTGAGGATGGTTTGGGATAGTGAGTTCTAGAATATGCAAGATACTTGTAAACTATGAACCAACGTTTGCCTGCTGTGTACAGTTTACATACAGCTTCTTAATGCGTAGCTTACCTTTGCTTGGTGTGATGAGAGACAAACTTGAAAGACCACACTCGAGCTAGGGGTTGAAGAATTGCAGGGTTTATCAGAATAGTATCTGGGGGCTGTGCAATGGTTGTTGGGGAACAGCCTGCAGAAGGTGCTTTCGATGAGACCTGAGTGGGTCCATTTTGCTGGAGTACCTGAGTCTGGTCCAGAGCAGGAGGAGGTTGGAAAAGTAGCAGAGGCCAATCCACAGGCTGTGAATGGTGGGCACTCCCTCTGCAAGTTGAAGGGGCAGCCACATCTCTGTGTTGTAGTCAGAGATTTTTTTCTCCTGAACTTTGGGCTGTTTTTTGTACAAGAGCACTTTTTTTTTTTCCCCTGTGACTAAATCACACTTCCCAGGGACACCAAGCAGTTTCTGATTACAACTGTAACAGCCTGAATACCAGCTGGGATTTTTGTATTAAGCAGCTCTGTGGGGTCACCAGACCAGTAGAAAATTGGAAATCTTGCTCTAAAAAGTATTTCAACAAATACTTGTTTTGTTCTTGAAATTTTTACTGCCCTAATTTGTCAGCTAACGGATCAGAAGTGATTGAACCGCTTGCAGCTGTTTTCAGTGATGGTCCCGGATGTGAGTTAGGGGTGCTACCCCGGTGTCGAATTCCAACCCCTTCCCTGCCCTGTGCGTTTCAAAACTGCCCTTGTTTTTTTTAGGCTGACGTGGTCATCAAATTCCCTGAAGAAGATGCTCCATCGACTGTCCTGTCCAAGAACCTTTTCACCCCCAAACAGGAAATTCAGGTATAAGAAACCTAAGGGCTGCTGCACTGAACACGGAGGGGAAACGTGAAGTGGGCAGTAAACGCCTGGGCTGTGGCTCTGGCTGCTTCTTTAGCCTGTTCATACGATATTTCAGTGTGGGCTTTGCCATTCCGTGAATTAGGACAAATACAGTCCCATCCTAGAGCTTGAAGAAACAGGCTCAGAGCCCAGTGTCCACCTCCCTGAAAGCAGATAGCTGGACACAAAATCAGAGGCTGTGTTTCCTAAGCATCCACAAGATTCAGCCTTAAGCTAGCTGCTTGAGAGCTACAGCACAGGTGGGTTTGGCTTTCTTCCTCTGCTCCTGAAGAAATCAGGGCTGTTGGGGCCTCTCGGTGGAAAACTCACCTGGGCGGGGGGACAGGGCTTTCCTTTCCCAGGCAGTCCTTTCCCCAGAGATTCACCGTCCCTGCACATAGTTAGCATCTCTGCCCAGCTCAGCTCAGGACTGTGGTGAGGATCAAAATAGGTAACCAGGCACACCTGGGTGGCTCAGTCGTTAAGCATCTGCCTTTGGCTCTGGTCATGATCCCAGGGTCCTGGGATCAAGCCCCATATTGGGCTTCCTGCTCAGTGGGAAGCCTGCTTCTCCCTCTCCCACTCCCCCTGCTTATGTTTCTGCTCTCACTGTGTGTCTCTCTGTCAAATAAATAAAATCTTAAAAAAAAAAAAAAGTAACCAAAAAAGAAAGAAAGGCTTTGAAAAGTTTCTAAAACATTTTGCAAAATGAACATAAACAAAACAAAATAAAGCTAGTAATCATTAAAGCAGTTTGAGGGACTGGTTAAGGAATCGGAGGTGGACGCACTGTGGACTATATGCAGTCATGAGAAATGATCATACTGTAGTAACATGGAAACTGTTTATACCACATATGAATTAATGTTGAAGTGTTTCAGGCAGACTACTTACTTCTTTTTCACTAATGAAAGGACAAGGGCCCAAAGAGTGTCATAGTAGGATTCTTTTTTGAAATTCTCCTAATGTTGATACAGCATTACTTAAGATTGTAAAATGCACTGAAATTGTAGAAGGTAGGACCGTGATGATGAAGGGCTCTGGCTGAGTTGTAGAGCGGAATAGGCGGCTGCAAAGGGGAGCTGAGGCGAAAATTTGGGAGCAGGACTCCCAGGTGAGGCTGCCTCATCATGGAGCTGGGTTGGCTGGACATTGGCAAGGAAAGACAGACTCAGGTCTGTGCATTGGAAGAAAGTGAAAAAAAGTTAAATTTGCATGTGTCAGAGCTTACCAAGTGTAATCAATGCCCTTACAGCCTCCTTCTAACTGGGATGGTCATCAACCTCCCACCTGCAACTTTTCAGCTAGAAATTGAGGCAAAGAGTAAAGCAACTTGCCCCTTTACTTGGGCCGAATTAGAAGTCTCTGGACTCCCAGTCCATCACTGCTTTTGCTGGGTGACATTAGATGAGCTTCCCAAAGATCTTCAAGTAGAGTTTCTTAGGAAGACAAACAAACTAATAAAACAAAGAAATATCAGAGCAATGCTTGCCCAGCTTTCTGGTTCGATTCCAGAAATCAGATAGAACAAGGAGGAGAGAAAGTTTATTTAGGGCTTCCTTAGTGCCATGGGCTAGATGCAGAAGGGGTGAGTTATGGTTGGAACCATCCATAGTGAGGCTCTTTTAAGTTATAAAGGGGAGTGAGGTTACTTAAGTGGGGCAGCAGCATATGAGGGTGCCACCCTGGGAACCCAGAAGCATTATGAAATCCAGAGTCCTGCCTTGGATATCTGTCACCTAAACTGCCCATATACCTGGGCACCCTCTTCTTGTTTTATTTTGTTTAAGATTTTTAAAAAAATTTATTAGAGAAAGAGAGCGAGAGAGATCATGAGTGTGGGGAAGGACAGAGGGATAAGCAGACTCCCTGCTGAGTGGGGAGCCCAACACAGGGCTCGATCCCAGGACCCTGAGATCATGACCTAAGCTGAAGTCAAATGCTTAACCGACCGAGCCACCCAGGTCTCCCCCTTCCCCCCACAGGCACCCTCTTTGACACAAGGCAGATGCCGCTAGATTGGTTGTATTTTCTAACCTCTAAATGGCAATGAGTCTTTGAAGGGAAAAAGAGGGTTGACCAAGTAGTGAGCCGGCACTGGTGTGTTTGGAAGAAGACCTCTAGGATTAGAAGCCAGCATTGTGAAGAGGCAAAAGGCCAGGTGTCTGCTCACTGCCAGGAGGGTGTAGCCTCTGGGAAGCGTTTCTGCTTGAGTGTCATTGGCATTTTGGTCCCTGGTCTACGTGGCAGCCCCTGCTGGGAAGGGCACATTCTTAAACATTCTTGGTATGTCTTCTTTCGGCAGCACCTGTTCCGAGAGCCTGAGAAGAGGCCCCCCACGGTGGTGTCCAATACATTCACTGCCCTGATCCTCTCGCCCTTGCTCCTGCTCTTTGCTCTGGTGAGTAGCTGTAATTAGCATGGGCAGTGTGTGTCTGGCGCCAGACTCAGCAGATGTAGCCGTTCTAAAGGAAGCTTTGTGCTCTGGCCTCAGCAGAGCTCCAGAGGGGTCCAGCAGCTGTGACCTGAACCGATGGTCAAAAAATTTTAGAATAACTAAAATTCCCCACTGTGGGGGAGCAGCCAAATAAACTGATCCATTAACGGGGCGGGGGGGGGGGGCATGAGAAAGTACCTAACAGCCACTAAAAATGATAAAAGTACCTAGACTGGGATGCTCTGTAGGAGTGTTCAGATGAGGTCAAGTCTGAAAAAAGCAAGGCCCAATGCTGATAGCTGCATAAAAACAGGGTCCAGAGGCTGTGGATTCCAGCATTTGGAGCCTAAAACTATAAACAAACAAGCAACCCGCATACAAAACTAGTGTTAAATAAATTATTTTTCATCATATAATGGGATAATATGCAAGTTTATGAAAAGAATGGATAGATTTACATGCTGATACAAGGTTGCCATGATATCTCACTGAGTGAAGCAGGTCAGGGGTAGGATAGTATGTTTGTATGATCCTCTTGATGTAAAACCTTAAAAAGGCATTATCTGTTAGTGTTGGTCACCTCCCAGGAGAGGACCTTTTAGGGAGTAAAGAGGAAGGAAATTTTTATACTTTAATATACTGTTTAACTTTTTTTTTTGTTTGTTTTTGTTTTTTACCAATTTTTTTCTTTGTTTCTCTTTAAAAATTATAAGATGCATATCCTCAAAGTTCAGAGAATATTGAGAACTGTATGGAAAATTCATTAGATCTTACTTTTGGGTGGTTACTTGCCTGTGTTCTTAATTCATTCATCGATTTCAGTCGAGGAATTATTGGTCAGTCTAAATCTGGAAGGCTTGGCACGATCTTTCAGCAATCTGACATTGGGTAGCACCTGTTCTCATATTTGAGTGATCAGAATTCCAAAAGGCACAGAACCCGGAGCAAGAGCTTGCACCCGGCCAGCCGCCAGGGGGCTTATCTTACCCCTATTTAGAGGAATTAGGCTGAGTGCCAGTGACTTCATCATAAATGTAGTCTCTGACCTTTCGGCCTCGTGGTCTCACCTGCTTTAAAATAGAAAAGTTTGCTGTCACTATAAAGGATGTTCAGGTGTGAGTTACCCATGCACATTTGAAAGCAGGTGTCGGAATGCCTTTCTAAAGAGGAAAGGGAACCATTTTTTCCTGAGGACTTACAATAGGGTGGTTGTCACTTGGAAAAATTTTCTGTCCTTCAAGTGTGGATGAACTTTTAAGCCCTTGGGGCTGTTCATCGGATTAGCATTGACGTGGCATGTGTTGCCTTCTGTTTGAAGTCCTAATGTCTTTTTAATTTATTTCTCCCCATCGTTCAGTGGATCCGCATTGGTGCCAATGTCTCCAACTTCACTTTTGCTCCAAGCACAATCATCTTTCACCTGGGACATGCTGGTAAGCACCCCCGGCTGCTAATTCCATTTAACCTCCTCTGACATTTCGCCTGCCCACACGAAAGCCCTGTTAAGTAGACCCACAGCCTATTAACTATAATGACTTAATAGCATAACATTTCCCTCTTCCTCCTGGCCTTTTAGGACAGTTGATATGATGATAAACCTGTTTGGTCCATCAGCTTAGAACAGCTGTCATTATATTGGGTTTCATTGTGCTAGGCTGCCGTTGGCTGGCCATTTACCCCTACTTAATAGCCCTGTTCATTTTCAGAGATTACTCACTTATCGTATCTTTACATTGAGCCATCTTCCTGGATGACGAGCGTTAATGCAGTTTCCAAAGGTTATCTTTCCCCCACCATATCGATCTTCACGTTTGCTGGCGGCTGCGTCTGGACAGTAATAGAAAACAGTTTCTTCCACAATTGGACACACTGTTCTGCATTGTTCTCTTGAGAACTCCATACCTAAACATAACAAGACAGTAAATTCACAAATCAGCTAAGCATTTCATAGACATTTGACCCTCTTGGGTCTGTGGTGCCTTGCATTTCACTGAGACTTCAATATCCTTTTTTTTTTTTTTTTTAATTTTTTAAAGATTTTTTTGAGATAGAGCGCACACGAGCAGGGGGAGAGGGAGAAGCAGACTCTCCTGCTAAGCAGGGAGCCTGATGCGGGGCTCGATCCCAGGACCCTGGACTTGATCCTGGGACCCTGGGATCATGACCTGAGCCAAAGGCAGATGCTTAACCGAATAAGCCACCCAGGCGCCCTGAGACTTCAGTATTATTTTCTGATTTTGTTGATTCTTTGAGGAGTAATCCTGTGTTTGTCGATTGTGTGCAAAGTCTGTGGGGCTCCACAGATGTGTCTGTGTTTTTCTGGGGAAAGAGGGAGTCCGTAACTTCGGTCAGATTCTCACAGTGGTTCATGACCTCAGAGATGGTTAAGAACCCCTGCTGTAGTTCATCCATCATCCTTCTGGGCAAAATTGACAGGGTGACCTTTCTCTCCAGCCCAGTTACTGGATTTGAATGATAGCCCTCCTGAGTCAGACTGAGAACAAAACCTGAATATAAATTTGTTTAGAAGCGTGACTTTCTTTGCCAGAGAACTTTTTGTGCACATTCCCTCATTTGATTTTCATCACAACCGTGATGGGGGTGCCTAGGGCAGGAATTATGATCCCCGTTTGACAAGTGAGAGAATGTCGGCTCAGAGAAATGGAGGTGGCTGGGAAGAGCAGAGCCTGGACTTGAACCCAAGGCTCCCAGTGCCCGGACCTGAGCCCTTTTCACCAACCCTCCCTGGTACTCCTCGCCTCCCTTCTAGTCACACTGGCAAAATACCCATAATCATTTTTTGCAATGGAAAGGAAATTACTCATTTATTTAATCCTGCATGCTTTTGTTCAGAATTTGAAAAGTAAAATGAATCCTGACTTTAATAAGACAGTCATGTTTAAAAAAAAAAAAAACCAAACAACAAAACAAAAAATAAAAGTAAAACCTACGATAAAACAGATGTGTGCTGGAACATGGAACAAGATAGTTAAGGTAGCTGAGGTGCTGAGGTCTGATTTTTACCTCTGGATTTTTTGGTAGCCAAGGTAAGTACATTGAGTTATTAATTTTCTGGTATTGGATACAAGGAATAAAACCAGCTGGTCTAGAAAGAGAGACTTCTTCAGAATCCAGCGGGTACTGTTCCTGACTGTCCTCTGCCCTAGGCCATTGTCACTGTTTCACTTAACTGGCTGTCATGACGTCTGTTCCTTCAGCGATGCTGGGGCTCATGTATGTCTATTGGACACAGCTCAACATGTTCCAGACCCTGAAGTACCTGGCCATCTTGGGCAGTGTGACGTTTCTGGCTGGCAATCGGATGCTGGCCCAGCAGGCAATCAAGAGGTAAGGCTAAGGATGGGCGGGGGACTCCGAGTGGGACTAGAAATATTTTTGTCAGCTCTGCTCACCCAGCTCTTTGAACAAGGGTTTGTGACTGCGGCTGAACGATTTGGATCCTTGGGGGCAAGTGTGACACCTTAATTCCGCCTTTTAAGTCCAAAAAGGGCCTTGGTGATCAGCTTTAAATATATTAAAACCACAGTGATTTATGCCCTGACACATCAGAATAAGAGAAGAAAATAATTTCTTTATGAAGATTAAAATGGATTAGAACACGTGGGACAGAAGATTGTTGGTCATGTGCTGGCTGGTATAAAAATGTTCTCTCCTGCCACACAGACTCCTTTGCTGCCCTCCTCCCAGGCCCCGGGGAGGGACTCCTCTGTCACCCCTAGCAGACTCACGGAGCTTTTCCTCCCCAGTGTGAGGTCCGTGCACTTCCCCCCCCCACCCTCACCCCAAAGCTGCCACAGGTTCCAAGAGGCCCCCCAGCTGGAGCCCTGCTCAGTAGCCTCCACCACGTCCCTGACAGCCAGACAACCTCAGGTTTGCACAGATGGTCAGATCTTAACGCGGCGGCAGCCGCTTGCTGGCAGCTTGACTGTCGAACCTGGGTGCGAGGCCAATTTAAATGTCACGTAGGTGTTTCTCATTGATTTGACTTTTTAGAACTTGGGTGATTTCAGCCGCGTAAAGGTCAATAAGAAAAGGTCAGAGTTGCTTTCACCTTTGGAAGTTAACAGCTTCAGATGTGCCCTGCTTTCTCCTCTCCAAGATGTTTGCCGTAAGAATCGGACTCAATAGTGTGCCCTCCAGCGCGGCTGCCAGTTAAGTTGGTCAGATCAGAGAGGCTTTCTCAGAGACAGGAGAGCAGGCGGGAGAGCCCCGTGGCTCAGCCCTGCTCCGGTCTCCATCGTGAGCTGCTTGAGTGCCTCGCCATGGAGACTGGTCCCGACGTGCTTCCTCACTTCCCTTGAATCATCCACGTTCCGCCAGAGCTTTCCTTAGCACTGGCCGCGGCAGCTGCTTCATTTCTCTGCCCCTCCAGCAGCCTTCGCTTGGCAGCTCTGCAGTCCATCTGAGCAAGAGCCCGGGATTCAGCTGTTTTTTTCTAAGCAGAGCCCTGTTCCCTGGCAGCAGCCAGTCCAGGCCCCAGGGAGCCGAAAGGCTGCACTCTGTGGAGTTCTCTCTGTTCTGGAAGTTGCCCACACAAGATGAACAGAATCAAGGGGAAGGTGAGGTAGATTTAGAGCCTGCTTAGCAGGAGTTCCTAATCTGGAATCCTAAAATTATGTACCTTTTCTGAAGAGAGAGACCATGGTTCTCATCCCGTCTCCAGCACGCGTGCACGCGCACACACACACACACACACACACACACACACACCGCTTATACAGAAAGTTAGAGCCCACTCTTCTGTTGCTGTCTTTGTAAGCCCTAGAACAAACTCTGCCACTTGGGAAATCATTGAAGCTCTGGTTGGGTGTATGCTGCTATTTCTTTTCTCAAGATTATTTCTCTTCCCACTGTCCTTTCTTGATTCTCAAACCCTCTTTCCTTTGGCAGGATCGCTGCAGAGCAGAGCAGTAGATTGGCAAAATATAGGACACTACGGTAAAAATGAAGGGTGGACTTCTCCCAGAAGCAGGGCCCCTTTCCCATCTTGCCCACCTTGTGCATGTCAGTCGTTTATGAGATTTTCAGCCCACTCGTTCCTCCCCACCTTCCCCAACCCATAGCTGAATTCTGGGGCCATTTTCCAACTTGACTGGACCAGGGCAAAATTAAAGCTCCCTGAGTTAGCCCAACTGATGGGGTAACTTGAGCTGGCGATGACATTAGACTCCATCGTCCCTTATGTCCATGGGGTACTTTATACACAGCAGCCCCTTTCTCTGTGTTTTTAGGAGGGAGGAGTTGAGGATAACATAGATGCAACCTTGTACTTCTTGAATGGGGACCCCATTCAGAACATCTAAATTCATGAAACGATGGTCCCATGGCAAATCCTGGCACACCTTGTCACTGTTTCTAGGCCTTTTTGTAACACTGATCTTTGGTGGGGCCAAGCAGTGTGGTTAATATGATACTGAGTTATGAAGGACTATTGGGCATAACTCAAAGCCGGAATCAGAATGCTGGTTCCTAAAACTCAGGGTGTAGTTCAGGGCTATTCCCTGTGTGGCTAAAATGTCAAGTGAAAAATCACCCATTTTCTAAGTATAATCCTGGGGTGAGGATGGAAGTGGGGGCAAGGGGAAGGGAGGGAAGGAGAGTGAGTGAGGGCTTCATTGATCCGCTCATCCAGACTAGGGATCGGCAGAAGTTTTTCTGGAAAGATAGTATTTTTGGGCTTTTCGGACCATATGGCCTCTGTTGCAGCTGCTCAGCTCCGCCACTGCTTTTCAAAAGCAGCTGTAGACTGTGTAAACAAGTGAGTGTGGCTGTGTTCCAATAAAACTTTATTGTTTCGGGGCGCCTGGGTGGCTAAGTGGGTTAAAGCCTTTGACTTCGGCTCAGGTCATGATCCCGGGGTCCTGGGATCGAGCCCCGCATCGGGCTCTCTGCTCAGCGGAGAGCCTGCTTCCTCCTCTCTCTCTCTCTCTCTCTCTCTCTCTCTCTGCCTGCCTGTCTGCCTACTTGTGATCTCTGTCAAATAAATAAATAAAATCTTTAAAAAAAAAAACTTTATTATTTCAAAAGATTTTAATTATTTGAGAGAGAGAGAGAGAGAGAGCGTGTGCACGAGCTGGCGGAGGGGCAGAAGAGGAGGGAGAGGGACAAGCAGACTCCATGATCCGGAGCCCGATTTGGGGCTCGATCCCATGACCCTGAGATTGTGACCTGAGCCGAAACCAAGAGTCACTCGCTTAACTGACTGAGCCACCCAGGTGCCTCCCATTAAACTTTAATTTACAAAAACAGGTGGTGGGCTGGATTTGGCCCTTGTGGCATCGTTTGTTGACACCTGCACTAGGCCAACAAAGAGAAGGGGGGCTATTTGAGTTTTCTTTTCTGTTCCCTGGTCCCTTGCCTTGGAAGTGGCTTTCTCCGCCAAAGCAACGGAGCCATCTAATTTTAATTCTCTGCAAATCGGAAAGATCAACAAAAGCATAGGATGTAGAGTCTTTTCACTGATGTGTGAGCATAAGCTGGCATAGCTAATCCTCAGCACATTTGTCTTGGTTTTGTTTTTGCTGGTTTAATTGAGGTATAATTTATATCTGGTAAAATTCACTGTTTTTGTGTACAATCTGTGAATCTGGACAAATTTACTCAGTCATGTAAATACCACTTCAGTCAAGACATAGCCTATTTCCACACTCGAGAAACTTCCCCTCGGTAGTCAGTCCTTGTCCCTACCCCCATTCCCTGACATACCCAGTTGGTTTTGTCTTGAATTAGAGTTGCCCTGAGATTTTGCTTTCGAACTAGTCCTTTCTGCTAAATATTTAGCTCTTTAATTGTTTAAAATAACTCTGGATTGATTTTTTTTTTCTTGCTGTTTAGATAGTCTACCTTCACGCTGCTGCTACCCCAAAATCACACAGCTTGAGAGAAAGGAAAGTTGCTTGATCATGGGGACATTTAGGACTTCCAGAGGTTGGGACCTAGTACTTTAAAGGAAAGTCTCCACTTTTGATCCGAGGACAGACATTGATTTGATGAGGCTCGGCAGAGGGTGTAACTTCTTAGCCAAGATGGCGGCTTGTGAGCCTCTCCCCTTTCAGCTCTTCTTCCTTCACACGCATGCTGTGCTTTCCACACAGACATTTCAGAGCACACACATTTCAGTGTACCTGGGAACCTCTGGATGTCGGCAGGGAATTAGGGCACTCCCTTCAGCCCTCAGGGTTAGTCCTGTGCCTGTGTATGTCCCCCAGCACTACTGACGCATTGGCTTGGAGCCTGACATCCTGTAAGACCGTGGTGCCATCACGTCAGCCCTCACCACTGGGTGTAACGGTCCACTCGGGACGGCGTGTGTGGCAGTGCTGTGCTTGCCAGAGCTGCTGAAACACTCTTTTGCTGCTTCGTCCTCCTGGGTGCACTGTGGCCGTCTGGATTGTCATTTTCGTTCCTGTGTTTCCCCGTCATCTTCGAGTCTAGGGAAAGGCAGCTGTGGGGAAAGAAGGAATAAAGAGATTGAAAGGTTTTTGTCCCCTCTTAAAATTTTTCTGGGAGCTGAGTCCCATTTTTGAGATGCCTTCTTGGTTTAGATGCTGAGGCTGACCGTTGGCAGGAACTCAACAGCAGCCATTCATGGCGGGAGTGTGGTGCAGGTTTCTGTACTGAACGGCTAGAATGCCATCTTACAAGCTCGCAAAGGCCCTGCGCTGCTTGGCAGACCCAGAGTCTGGGAGATTAAAGACGAACATTCTTCAGGCTTTCCTTTTTCTTCCCCTACTTGAAACTTACACTTTTTGGCCTTGCACTGTGAGAGGTGTGCCTGGAATTCCCTCATCTCAGAGCTCCATTTGCCACTTTCTTAGTTGTCAGGTTTGTGTCATTGTTTTTTATTTACGTTGTCATCAGCTGTAGTTAGAACCAGCTGTCTCACAACCGCTTGTGAAATGAGATGGGGCATAAATAAATAGAATTAATAGATAAATGATTACTCCTATATAAGTGGGGCCTTACTAAAGGCAGAGAACCTTGGTCCCTCTGTTGTCACCAGTTAGGAACTGTAACTGAATTGAAACCTTGAGTAATTCCGTGTTTGCCCCCATTTTCTTTCAGAACAGCACACTAGTGCCAGAAAAAGGAGGGAAGTGCTGAAAGCCGAAATGAGTATCAAGAAAAGGAGTCAAGAACAATTCACAGTTTGTAAAGAGGAATGAAGAAACTTTATTTAAACAGGAAAAGGTCGAAATTGTGGTTATACTTTGGCTTGTTGTTTTTCTCTTCCCCCAACATGGAGTGGATACCTGTGAGCCCCGATACTCCGATTCCTCGGCATGGTGCCCCCGCCAGATGCTGTGAATAATCCTAACTTAGCTGCCAGGTGTCGCATTGGAAAAGTTGAAATTTGTAATTAATCTGTTTTGGAATAAAGAGAATAACAGGAACAGAGGCTTGACTGAGAGTTTGTTCTAGGGCTTCGGGGCACATAACAGGAGGACTTAGTCAGGAAGTCCTGCTGACACAGGGCCATGGTCTTTCTCCAGGCCTTTTTCCATGGCTCCTTCTTGCCTCTTGCCCAGTAGGACTGCGAATTGCCTGGGAAAGCAAGCATCCTTTCTTCTGCAGCGGGGGGCACCCTCTGTCTGCAAAGGAGTCCTGTTGGTATCTGAAGACCCTTCTGCTTTTGCCTTGAGAGTTTGGGCTTGGCATGAAGTGGGGAAGGGAAGGAATTGTCTTAAAAGGAGGCTGACTGCATGAGTATTCTTAGACTCAGACACACCTGTCTCAGGAATGCCCCTTTTGAAGTTGTGCGGGGACTGCCATCACCTGGGCGTATAATACCATGTAGAGAAGTCATAGTGAATAGTGGTGTTCATGGATAGACTCGGGTGTCAGGCAAGCCTGCTGTCACCACTTGGTAGGATGGTTGAGGCTGAGGGATGTGGGCAGTGGCTGCAGTTCTCTAAGCCTCTTCTGTGGATGAGAGATAATAACTTGCCCACATTGTATAACTAAAGGAGCTTCAGTGCATCTGGAGTGCTTGGCCCAGCGCTCGACACCTTCCCTCATTAGCCCCTAGTTACGTACTCTGGCTCTTCACCTCTAATTTTATTGGTTGAAACATCATAAATACATTTAGATAATTTTTGAAATACAGGTAGTTCTTACAGTATTTATTGAATTGGCGGGTGGAAATGATTTTGATCGGAAGTCTTTCCAACTCAGCTGGAACCTTCTTCTGCCCCTCAGGTGACGTCTGACCACACTGGCCTGTCTTCAGCAAGGGTGCCGACAGGTCCAGGTCCATTTAGCCAGAAGTTCCTTCCAACCATCGATCCCCCACCCTGCCCCTTGGCTATGAATTCCCACTTTCCCACACTGTATTCGGAGTTGAGCCCGGTTCTATGTTGAGGTCTCTTTCCCCCTATCATAGTCATCCTGAATGAAACCTATTTTTACTGCTTTAACTACCATGTGGGCTTGGTTTTCTCCTGTTCCCCTACTTACCCCTCAGGGTAAAGTTTCCCATCAGTAAAAATGGGGATAATCCCTCTAAGGGCTTTATAAGGATTAAATGAGGTCCTGCCCCAAACAACCAAAGTGCCCTTCTCATTGACTCAGTGTTGGATCAGCGTAGATACGGTCCTCACTGTTCCTTCCTGTGTGTTGGGAGGAGCACAGTGAGCAGTCTGTTCTATGTTCACGCCGTTTGATTGTTGAATTCACTCGATTCCCCAGCTTGAATTTACTGTGGCACCTGAAGTCTTAAAACCACACAAGAGCCCTGTCCTGGAATCAGGAGTCAGTTCCCAGCCGCACCCAACCCCCCAACTTCCCCCAACCCCCCCGCCCTCCCCCACCACCGTGTAGTGGGGTGGGACCCAGCAGGGGTGCCTGACCTCCCAAACCTCCGTGAGGCCAGCGAGGCCAGCCCTGACCGCCTTTCTCCAGGCGACTGTGGGAGGGAGCAAATGGAGCAATGGATGGGAAACCTCTTTGTGAACTTGAAGTTAATACAAACAAAAGGGATTATCGTTAAAAGTGACAAGTCCTCCATTGATTAGAGCATTTCTTTAGGGGAAAAAAAAAACAGGCCCCCATGGGAACAAGAGGCTCCCAGCCCCTCTGTAGGGAGGGGTGAAGTCTTTCATGATGCCATTAGCGATAAAGCGCAGGGATTGTCGCCACCATGGTTTTTTCTCTTTATAATTGCATTCCCTTCGAAAAGCACAAGGAGCAGTGGGTTCCAGGGGTCATTATTTCATCTGAAAAACTAATTGGAAGTTGAGAGAGGCCTCTGTTTTTGCTTTTGTCAGGGTGGGGGAAAGAGATAAGCAGGTGAGTCTGGGGGAGGGAAGGGGCCTTGGGGCTGGCCAGGGGCCTCGGTGCTGGCCATGGCCAGTCCAGCATCCAACAGGTTCTCCACTGGCCGGCCTCTCTCAGCTGAAGTGCACTGCCAACCCTGAGTGGCCAACCTTCACCTCTGGAGGGGGCTTTTGTCCGCCATTATTGGTATGGCCTCCTGGGCAGAGCCACCACAGTGGCCCCCTGCAGAGCCTTTCCCACGCTTGACAGTCTTTCTGGAGGGTACCCTGGGGGCTCCCAGAGAGAGCAGGTGGTCTAAACCCTGTGAAGAATCAAGCTGGCTTTACAGCTCTAGTGCAAGGAGACAGGAGACCTGCCCTCCAGACCCAAGGTCAGCGCTATATGTCCCTGGAGGCCGGGATCACTGTCTTGGGGGTCCTCTGCAACTCGAGATTGCTGCGATTTTTCCTGCACTTTTAATCAGAACAAACATCTCATCCTGACTTTTCCTAGTTGTTTTTAATTCAGTTAGAGCAAAATGCACAAATCTTAAGTGTACAGCTCGTTGAATGTTTATGTCTAATGACACTGGTGTAACCATTACTCAAAGCAAAATAGAGAATAATTTGATCGTCCACCCCACCCCCTGAAAGTCCATGGATCCTAAGAGGCATGTATAGGGTAGGTCACATGTGGAGGTATCTGGCCCAGGTGAAATGGTCTCGGGATAGAAAAAGCTAATCACTGACATAGGCACCTGTGGTCAGTGGCTTCCGTTCTCTGCCTCCCGTTAACAGCAAAACTGCAATGAAAGAATTCTCTCTACTGGCACTATCTCCTAGAGATAGAATGCAAGCTGCACAGGTGATTTTAAATTTTTTAAAACCAGGGGCGCCTGGGTGGCTCAGTCGGTTAAGCATTTGACTTTTTTTTTTTTTTTTTTTAGATTTTATTTATTTATTTGACAGAGAGAGAGATCACAGGTAGGCAGAGAGGCAGGCAGAGAGAGGAGGGAAGCAGGCTCCCTGCTGAGCAGAGCCCAATGCAGGGGCTCGATCCCAGGACTCTGAGATCATGACCTGAGCCGAAGGCAGAGGCTTAACCCACTGAGCCACCCAGGCATCCAGAGTCACTCCATTCTTGAAACCCTGTCTTTGGTGAGCTTCTGGAATTCCTTTATTTTGTACTTATCTCCCTGCCTGCTCCTTCTTAGTCTCCTTCACTGGCTCCTCATCTTTCTGTGAAAATTTAAATGTAGGGGTTCCCTGGGGTAAGTCCTTGGACCTCTTTTCTATACTTTCTGTTCATCTTTGGTGATCTCGCCTATCCGCCCCCCCCCTCCCTGACTTTCAAGACCAAACTGGCTGCCTGGATCTCCCTCCAACTCCAGACTTACATACGCCGGTGCCCCCATAGCTTCTTCACTTGGATCGTTAAGAGGCATCTCAGACTCAACTGCTCAACTGTTCCAAACACAAACTCCTCTCCCCCCACCCCCATAGATTTTATTTATTTGAGAGAGAGAAAGAGCACAAGCAGGGGGAGCTTCAGAGGTAGAGGGAGAAGCAAGTATTCTTCTGAGCAGGGAGCCCTACGTGGGACCCGATCCCAGGACCCTAGGATCATGACCTGAGCTGAAGGCAGATGTCCAATTAAGTGAGCCACCCAGGTGCCCCCAAACCCAAACTCCTAATTCTTTTTTTTTTCCTTTTTTTTTCTTTTTAAGATTTTATTTATTTATTTGACAGAGATCACAAGTAGGCAGAGAGGCAGGCAGAGAGAGAGGGAAGCAGGCTCCCCGCTGAGCAGAGAGCCTGATGCGGGGCTTGATCCCAGGACCCTGAGATCATGACCTGAGCCGAAGGCAGAGGCTTTAACCCACTGAGCCACCCAGGCGCCCCCAAACTCCTAATTCTGTCCTCAACTCCTAATTCTCCTCCCTCAAAGCTCCTAAATGGCTACTCCATCCTTCTAGTTGCTCAGGCCAAAAACTTTGGAATCATTTTTGACTTCACTCTAATCTCCACTTTATCCATCAGCAAATTAGTTCTCCTCTAAGAAAGTATGCAGAACTTGGCCCTTTCTCAGAGTGACTTAAAATGCAAATCAGATCATGTCATTCTTCCATTTAAACCCTGTGATGACTCCTGTCCTGCCAAGAGCGAGATCCCAAGTTCTCACCATGGCCTGTGAGGCTCCCCTTGAGCTGGCCTCCCAGTCCCCTTCAGCCTCCTTCTGCTCATACCCTCATGATGTTCTAGCTAGCCACACTGGCCTCCTTGCTCTTGCTCCTTCTGAGTTCTTGCCTCAGGACCTTCGTGTTGGGTTTTCACTCTGCTTGGAATGGTTTTGGCCCAGATACATAGCCAACCCTCTCTCTTCCTTCAGGCCTTTACTCGAATGTCACCCTCTCATTGAGGCCTTCCCTGACCACAGCACAGCACATGTATGGGTGATAGCTACAAAAATGTCCTCCCACACTCTCCAGTCCCTTGAATCTTTCTCCTTGGCAACTGCCACCATCTAATGTATTCTGTATTTACTTGTTTTTATTATTCTTCCCCCTCATTAGAATATAAGGTCTCTGAGATCAGGGACTTTGCCTCTTTGCTTACAGTTGTATTCCCAGTCCCTAGAACAGGGCCTGGCACCTAGTGGGTACTCTATAAATATTTGTTGAATGAATAAATGCTAGTGGATGAAGGATGACTTTGGCCCAGAGTGGACGGATATGGTGAAGAGCCTGCGTCTGAGCTGGCCTACCGGAGTTTGAATCCCAGTTCTCTCACTTGTCAGCAGTGACCTTGGCAGTTCAGTTACTTTTCCTGTGCCTTCGAGTGCTTTGTCTGTGAAATGAGTACACTGATACCTCCCAGTAGGCTGTGTGAGGAGCATATGAGATTCTATGCACCAAGCTGCTGGGCTGGCATTCCGAGTCCTTATTTGATTAATGTTGGCTATTTTTGTAGTATACCTTGTCATACTTCTTTGGGAAATGTAACTATGTAAAACACATTTAAAAAAATTAGGCTGGAGAGAGAAGGAAATTGAGATGCAGACCATTATGGGGGAATTTTATTGTATTTATGATGGAAAAAATGGGTCAGAAATTCAATAGGGTTCACTGGATATGATTGTCTTTTGGCTGCCGGTAGCATAAAACACAGGTGGTATCTTCATCTTCAGGAATTCCTGTTGCAGAAAGAAAGATAAAACTCAATTGAGGAGACCAAAGCTAGGGTGAGTTTGGCCAAGACACGTGGAACTAGGGTGATAGGCACACCAGGATCAGGACAAGCGCTCTGGGTTCCAGAAGAGGCAATGTGGGAAGAAGGAAAGGATCTCATGCGTTCCAGCAGAGCGAACCCAGTCCTAGCCCCATCTCAGCCAACCCACTCCTACTGACATCCCGGATCAATTACTTCCCCTTGAAGGAGCCACCTCTAATCCCCAGACAGAATCGGGTTAGGTCATACCTTCCCGAACATACGTTCAACCACACCCCTTACATCTCTTACCATTTATCACAGATTACATAATCCACCGTTCAGGTGCTTGCATAATTTCTGTCTGCCTCAGTGAGGCAGTATGGAAGTAAATTCCATGAGAACAGGGACCTCTGTTGACCTAGGCACTGCTGTACCCTCAGCCCAGAGCTTGGCACACAGTAGCCATTGGATGACTTTTCCAGGGAGGAGAAAACAGGTACTTCTGAAGCTCAATTTCCTCACAGGGCCATGAGGTGTACATAACATGTGGTGGGTGTACAAATGGGCCATATTGCAAATCATTCTCCTCTGATGATCGAGGTATGAGAACTCATTCTTCTGTTGTTTTCTTAGCCCCCCTCCCTGCCTCCAAGAGATGCTGGGATTTGCAGCCCTCGAGCTGGAGGGGGAACAATGGTTGGAGCAGTCTCCGGACCCCTTCCCTCCTGCTCTGCGGCTCTGGGAAGTCTCTGGCTTTTAACCTGCAGGAACAAAGCCTGTTTTCTTGGGACTTGGCCCTCCCTGGGGACACTCCACCCTACCCACTGGAGCCTGACAGGAGCCGTAAAGCCCGGGAATGATGACCTAATCTCAGCAGTGGCTGGGGGGAGGCACTATTCTTAGAATTCTAGTCTTAGGGACCTTAGAGGTGATTGGAGCTCCTCTTCCCTCCACAAAGTGGGAAACAAGGAAGCCGTCTTGCTGTGTGCCTCCCGGGCTGGTTCTCGCCCCTCCTGCAGCCCGCCCATCTGCCTGCTGCTTGTGTCTCCACAGGGCTATCGCTGGTGAGATCTCTGGGCTCTTGGTGTCTAATTAGGTTGAGAAGAAGGTGAGGGAGCACATGGAGAGCTCTGCTGGGAACAGGATTTGCTTAATAGGTTGGTGCAGAAGTGACTGGCAGAGCCATGCTGGGACACGTTTGTGCTCACAGTTTCAAATCAGCCTCAAAAATACAGCAGAGTTTTTCCACAAACAGTCATGTCATCCCTGAGAAACTTTGTGAAGTGGAGCTCCGTGTGAAGAAAGGAAGCAAACAGGTCTTGGGACCAGCTGCTTTGCTTCAGTTTCCCTCCTCTGTAAGACGAGAGCTCTCACTCCTGATCTTCCCTTACACCCAGTGGGACCATGAAGGTCAGTGACAGGAGGAATTACTGTCATCTATCGTCCTCATCTTTCCTTCTCATGAGTGCTGCCCATGCTAGTCTGCCTGAGGGTGTTGGGAGGGGCTGGCATTTCCTTGGCTTTATAGTTTGGGGAACTTGCCAAGTGTTCCAGGGTGTGCCTGTCAGATCGCCCACATCAGAACCACCTGGGACCCTGGTTAAAATTCAGGTTCCTGGTCCTATCCTGGCACTATTGAGTATGTAACAATTTTCGTACATAGACTCTGAGCCTGGCCTCTTGCTTCACGCTGGAGACACAACAGTTGGTAAGATCCAGTCTTTGGCATGCATTTTCTCCCCTTCCTCCAGTTCTTGATGTGTATAAGGAGGGACCTAGTTCCCAGTTTGCTTGGCAGAGCCCCAGGCCTTTGGAGAGGTGGAGATCCTTCCCTTTTCCCAGCAGCCCACGGGGAAGGAAGCCTCCGAGGTCCTAGACCACACACACGCATGCGCACACCCATACTCCTACCTCTGCTTCAGCAACATGGCCGCTAGGGCGCTCTCCAGGGGCGTCTGCTTTGCGCCTGCCCACATACTGTCCACCTGACGACCGAGCCGTGCCTTTGCTCCTTGCTCCCTGTTTTTCTCTCTAGTAGATTAGAAAAAGAGCAACAGTTGAGGTTGTTCTTTGGGTGGGATGTAGAGACGCCTGGGAAAGGCCAGGGTAAAGTAAACAAAAGAGGTGGATCCCTATGCCTCTTCCAAAATCTGGTGTGGACTCTTCCACCCAACTAAATCAGACTCAGCAACATTGAGGAAGGCACTTAGTGGTGAAGAGTACGGGTATTTGCAAAGTATCTCCCCACAGATTTCTTAATAATTATGAGGGGGAAGTATTAACTGGACGGAGGAGAAAGCTGGCGGACATCACGTTAACCAAGCAACTAAACTTACCATCACCAGTAATGGGGCAGATGGACACCACCTGCCTCCTGATAGGGTGAACCAAGAAGGACCCAATATCACTGCTGTGAACAAGTAACTGGAATCTAATCACGGCACAACATCAGGCAAATCCAACACGAGGGACGTTCTATAAAGAATAGTTGGCCTTTACTAACACAAAATGCCAATGTCATGAGAGACTCCAGAACTGTCCAGAGTAAAAGAAACTAAAGAGAAAGGACCATTCCGTGCAACCCACGATCCTGGATTGGATCCCGGATCAGGAGACTCAAAAATTGCTACAAAGGACATTTGGGAGAAAACTGGTGAAATGCATATATGTACACTAGATGCTAATTATGCTGTGATTATGTCCGAGAAGTTTCTTTTGTTAGCTGTGAGCAGGCACCATGCAGGAGTATTTAAGGGTAAAGGGTTGTGATAACTGTGGTTTACTCGCACACGGTTCAGTGAAACAACGTGCACCTCTGTTTGTGGGGGTGTATTGGCAAATAGGATAAAACAGTAGTAATTGTTGAAGGCGGGGGAGGGGATGTGGAAGTAGTCCATTATATTACTCCTGTGACTTTTCTGTAAGTGTGGAAATTTTCCAAAATAACAAAAGGTGCAGGCTGTGATGTCAGGCTCTTTCGATCCGAGCCCTGCCACTATTCAGTGTGTGTCCTTTGGACGCTATTAACTGCGCTGTGAGATGGGAGTCAACAGCGCCTACTTCATAAGGTTGTTACAGGTAGGAAATGAGGAGTAATGGCTGATTCTTGAGAGTCCAGCTCTGTCCTGAGGGCAGGGAAATGTCCCAGGGCAGAGCCTTGGTTTCCACCACAGAATCATGTCAAATGGTTAACCACAGTCAGTATTACTATGGGAGACTTGCATGGGGAGAAGCACAGTTGGTGTTCAGCGATCATTTTGTGGGTAGAGGTAAGCTAGGGCTTCACATTACGGCCCTACTGCTAAGGCAAATCTGGAAGCGATAGATGCTGTGCAAAGGGAGGGACCAAATGTCCCTCCACCCTCTGATGCATCGAGACATAGGGGAAAATCCCCAGTCCGTCTGCTTACCCCTGCTGGCGGTTCATGATGTCGTGCAGTAGCTTGCGGGCTGACAGCTGGCCCAGCACCTTCCGGTAGCTGTTGGTGAAGATGGCGTCTGCATACCGAGGGACTCTATATGGAAGGAGTCGGAGGTCAGAGGGTGGCGTGGCAGGGTCAGGTGAGGAAACCGGGAGCTGTACTCATCCTGTCCCTGTAAGGTCCTTCTGCCCATTGCCCTGTTCACCCCCAGAGAGGGTAAGACCCAGGCTGGGAGGCTTCTCTGGAGCTCAGGGCCAGACCCCTCAGACAGGCAGTTGGGGGGGGGGTGGCTGCTGAGGAGTTGGCTGGAGGCCAGCTTAGGGCTCTATTCTGCACCCTCTAAGACATCCCCCACTAGGGTGCAGGGATAGTTTGGGGACATTAGGACATAGGCCCTGGGGGGGATGGCTTACCTGAGGGGCAGGTAAGGATGGCTTACCTGAGGGGCAGGGACGGTGGGAAAGAGTGGGAGTCACTGCTGAGGGTGAGGATCACCAGGAAGAACACCCAGAGAAGCATCCTTCACCCCTGTGGTGGCCCCTGGACAATGACAGAAGGAGAAGTTCAAGTGTAGCCATAGCCACGGGGATGCCCTTCGCTGGCAGGGCCCAGCCCTGAGCTTGGCTCTATGCAAACCTTAGTCCTTGTCCTTTGGAAGCTGTGAGGTAGGAAAAAGGACCCAGACACTGGAAATCAGACAGACTGGGTTCAAGTCCTGCTTTTGCCAGTCACGAGCTCTGATCTCATTTTCTGCATCTGTAAAATGGGCATGATAAGCTACCCTGCTGATCCCACAGTGTTGGATGGAAAATTCATGATATTGGGGAAACTGCCCCTTGCTGTAAGGCATTGTTGGTGGAATTCAGGCCTCAGCAAGGGATAGGGGGACCTTCCCCTGGTCGTCTAAGTCAGCCACATCCACTGTGGCACCAACAGCGGCTCAGGCTCTGAGTCCCACAGATCTCTCAGTTCATAGCTGGGTTCTACCATTGCTAGCTGTGTGGCCCAGGAAAAGTGGCTTCTCCTCTCTGGGCCTCAGTTTCCCTACCCATAAAATGGAGTCTGTTATACTGACTGCATATGGTCCTTATCAAGGTTCGATGAGATGAGAGAAGCCTGGAACATAAGGAATTCTCCAAAACACTTGCTGCTGTGACCTCATATCAGACCCACTCAGGGGGCAGGACTCCCGTCCTGTCCTGTTATGTGTGAAGTCAGAGGGAAGAGAAAGCTATACATCTCGCTCCAGACATTTCCATTCCTCCAAAGAGTTTTAGCCTTAGAAGAGACCAGGGAGCCTGGGGAGCCAGTGCGACAGAATCATCTAATAGATCATGTAATTACCCTTAATTGGGGCCTGCGGACACCGTGCTCTGCAGTCAGGGGGAGAACAGGCAACGGTGGGGGAGGAGCCCGCCTCAGCGGGCCCGAGCCTCACCTGGCAACTCAGACCTGCCCACAGCGAAGCTGGGGTGACTCAGCTACCTAGGAATTGGGTCTCTGCACTTCCTACGCCCCCTCCTCAGCAGGATATCTACTCCATGGGGCTATAGGCCCATGCGGGGGCCCAGCCAGTGCAGAGAGGGGCAGGGACACCTCCTTTCCCAACATCACCCCGTGTCTTTCATTTTCTCTCCTGTCCTGTTGAAGAGTGATTTCCAGCAGGCAGGGCCAGCCCTGGCAGGATCACCTTTCCTTTTCTGGGCTTACCTGCCCTCTTAGGGCATCACGTCCCTTGTACGAGACACCAAGGTCTTGGCTAACCCAGGCACACTGTGAGACGCAGGGAACCATCTGTAGAGATGGCCCAGTGCGGCCTGAGACCCTGCACCTCCAGAGCTGGAGGGAGCAACCCCTCCTTGGTGTACACCCCCACCACTCCCTCCCGCCACCAGCAATCCTCCAGTTCCTGCTCATATGCTGTCCGCCAGTGAGTGACAGGGAGCTCACTACCTCTAAACCAGGATGTACTATTCTCAGCCAGCTCTTTTTTTTTTTTTTTTTAAATAACATATAATGTATTATTAGCCCTAGGGGTACAGGTCTGTGAATTGTCAGTCTTACACATTTCACAGCACTCACCATAGCACATACCCTCCCCAATGTCCATAACCCAGCCACCCTATCCTTACCCCCTACCCCCCAGCAACCCTCAGTTTATTTCGTGAGATTAAGAGTCTCTTATGGTTTGTCTCCTTCCAGATCCCATCTTGTCTCATTTTCCCCCACTTCCCCCCACGACACCCCGCCCTGCCTCTTAAATTCTTCATATCAGAGAGATCACATGAGTGCTCGCTTCGGCAGCACATATACAGAGAGATCACATGATAATTGTCTTTCTCTGATTGACTTCTTTCGCTTAGGATAATACCCTCTAGTTCCATCCACATCATTGCAAATGGCAAGATTTCGTTTCTCTTGATGCCTGCCAGCTCTTCTTGTTGGGAAGTTTTTCTCATCATGTCAAGTACAAAGCCCCTTGTCCTGCAAAGGTGTGTTGAACTTCTACCTTCCTCATAAGGACTGGGGCTAGAGAAAGGATGAGAACGTGACATCTGCCCTCTACCCCTTGCCCACATCTACCTGCTGGGCCACCCGCAGCTTTTGCTCCTTCCTCAACAGAAAAAACCCTTTGCATCTGACTTCTTTGCTCCCCAGATGGAGGATCTCAGTCTTCTGTCCTCCTCCTCACGCCATATCTCATCTAGCCCTCCCTTCTCCTTGCCTGGTCTAGGCTGTCTCTCTAGCAATGAACTTTCCTAAGCACGGAGATCTTTGGAGGTGAAGAGAGCCCCTTGACATGAGCCCTGCTGTTTCTGTCTCCCAGCTGCATCCTGGACTTTCTTGCCTTTTTTGCTGCTGATCTTTTAAAGACCTGGGCACATCTAGGCCCCTCAACACTTCATTCCCCTGCTCAGAAGCCCTTGGTTGTCTACTCCCTCCAGAGCAAAGCCCAAACTCCTGCTCTTGGCCTAAGCTCTCCCTTGGCCTCCTGCACCTTTTCTTGTGGTCTCCAGCCCCTGTGCCCCCCCTGGTCCTCACAGCCCAACCTCACATTCGACCTCTGAAACAGGTATCACGGTCTTCATTTTACAGCTGAGGAAATGAACCCAGAGCGGGGAAAGGGTCTTTTTCCATGGTCTTCCTTCAAATTAGTTTTGGAGTGGGCACTTCAGAATGGCCTCACAGTCCCCAGGCCAGCAGGCTTCCTCCCGCCCCTCGAGGCAGCCTCCCAGATACAATATCCTATTCACAGCTGTCCCTATTCATGGGCCCTGCAGAATTCGTCACCTGCACGTGGGAAGCATTCTGAAAAAAAGGGAAAGCTTCTGTTCTTTGTCATGGGGTCTCTAGGGAAGAAAAAAAAGGGAGACGAACAGGAACATCTGCTTGGTCGGCACCTTTCCTATGCATATCCAGGGGTTTCAGGGAGTTGAAAATAACCAGATAGGAGGGCAGACTTTGGGGGGGCCAGTCATAGTAAATTCTGTAACCCCCAGCTTATTCAGAACACGGCTGAGCAACCGTAGAGTCTGGAGGCACAACATTTGCTACAAACCATGCGCCCCAGGGATGGGTCCAGACGCCATCGCAACCTCTGGGCTAGGAGAACCTAATCCATAGCATTGCAAAATTGCTCTGGACAGAGTTGGGACACAACAAGAATGACCTCGCTTATGGTTCCATAAGGGTAGAGGTTGTATCACCAAGAATAAAACAACTATTGCCAGATGTATTCTACATGAGCTGTCTACAGAGACAGAATTCCAGGGAATTAAGTGGAGCACAAATCCAAGAGCATCATGAAAGACTCCTTGATGGCTCCAAAGGCATTTTAAGGTTTATCATCTATCGCTATGAGTATCAGCTTTCTGCCGTGTTTACAAATGAATTCTGTGGTTAGATCTACTTGAGGTCATCTGGAATCGGGATAAATGGGCACTCGATCTACATTCGCTGGCACCTCTTGCCAGCCTCTGTGCCAAGAATGCCACAAGAGTCCTGCAGATGCGGCTTCAGCTAATGACAGTCTCGAGTGCCCACTTCTGAACCCCGGGGAAGAAAATCTTTTTTCCCTTTCCTAAACATTCTGCTTTGTAATTTTAGAACATTGAAGCACTGACCTCCTGGTCCAGTTTATCAAATGTTTCAGCGACAGCTTTCCAAATGGAAGGAGATCTAAGTTTTTAATGAGGAAGCATCTTGCATTGTCACTCAGAAGAGGGACACCCCCACCTCCTTCCAGAAAGGGTTTGAGGCAGCTTATGGTGAAAGGCACAAATACATTGGAACTTCCAAGCATGGATCAAGAGATAAGCGTGGGGGTAGTGGAGCACTCGCTCCAAGGGCAGATAATTGCGTCTGAGCCCTTGAGTAAGGAGTGCAGCTGCCATTGAGCAAAAGCAAAACGTTATCAATTTCCAGGCAATTATGTTGAATGGGTTCAGAGCGATAGGATGGGCAGTATTGATTGGCACAGCCACTTGGCTCCTTTCCGATCTGCAGAACCCCATTGTAGATGGGTGACTCTAGCCAGCTCATGTCTTGCCTCAGACATCTGCCTGCACACCCGTGAGGGGGAGCCTTGACCTTGTCCACCGCCGACAGCAGACACTGGGAACTCGTCTGCCTGCCTGCCAGCCGCTTCCCCAAGTTTGAGATGACACCGATCCAAGACAATCTCAACATGGCGCCAACCATCCAAAGCATGTTCCAGAGCCCCTAACTGGGGGTCTGAGTGCACTTACGAGTCCACAGGCAAAGAGGATGGTGGTGGCCCTCTTGGACTCGGTTTCTCTGAGTTGGTGAGAAGGTCAACCGTTTCGCCCCATCCAGCCCCAGCCCCCAGGGTCACCCTCTCTCACCTCCGATGTGGCAGGTGTCCCTCTGCTGTGAGGCGCTGCTGCAGCTCCCTGGACACCGGGCTCGGTGTTTGCTCGGTAGCTGCGAGGCGCTCCCACCATTTATACCTTCATTTTCCTAAGCGTCATCCACGTCAGAGAATCAATTACCCACGAGTCAACCAGAGGACTGTTTTTAGCATCACACTGACAAACCCTAATGGGGGAAGAGGTTTTTCCCTTTGTATGGAACTTTCCCTTTATTCTGGCGGGAATGGCCAGAGCACGAAGTTATGATCTTATTCTGAGGTGAACGGAGAGTAAAATGCTGTTTCTGTAGTAATTGGAGTAATCATCTCAGGGAAACACCAACTTCACTTACTCTCTGAGTTAAATGTGCCTTTTAAAAAGTTGAGATAGGGGGTACCTGGGTGGCTCAGTGGGTTAAGCTTCTGCCTTTGGCTTAGGTCATGATCTCAGGGTCCTAGGATTGAGCCCCGCATCATGCTCTCTGCTCAGCGGGGAGCCTGCTTCTCTCTCTGCCTACTTGTGATCTTTCTCTCTCTGTGTCAAATAAATAAATAAAATGTTAAAAAAAAAAGTTGAGATAATTCTGTGCAACTTTATTTCACGTTAGCGTAGCTCCTTAGTGAGGAGCACTGTTTGTTTGCCTTATTC